AATTTCTTCTGGTGATAAATTTAAGGGAGTTAATGTCCTCTTCACTGTTTCTTTATACCAACTTTTCTTTTAACACATTCTCAGTCTTCTTTTTAATATATCCGATTAAGGCATACATTTAAAATAAATTATAACTTAAGCTATTAATTATATATTAATTAAAATGTACGAAAAAAATAAATTATAAAAAATAAAATTTAAGAATTAATTGATTTTAGTTAAATATATTTATATCACTTAAATATTATATATATATATATATATATATATATATATATATATATATCATCTTATTTTTTAACATATATTAATTTTGATTATATATATTTATAAATAAAACATATGTAATATTTTTAGTGTATAAAAATTGTAATTAATTAAAGAATGATTTATTTCGTAACAAATTTTAATTATAAAAATAAATATTTTATTATATAATTTTAAAATATATAATCAAATAACATTAAGTGATTTTGGTTACCTTGTAAGAAGGACAGTAACGATTTTCAGTCAAGACGATTAATAATAATGTATAATTTATTAAATAATTAAATTATTTTTATTTGATACAAGATAAAATTATTCATTAAACTACGCCAAAAGTATTGAAAAAAAAATCTCTATGGTAAAGATAATGTAATATATAATTGATCATATAGACGCACACAATAGTAAACTTGAAAAAGATTAAATATTTTTTTCTTCAAAAATATACGTATATATAATTAATCGTTAAATATTAATAAATAAATAAATAATATCTGAAAATAACTTTCATCTTTTACAAATAAATTCTTATATATTAATATTCAAAGATATAAACTAATTATTACGTATTAATTAAGTTGTATTTTATTATAATATAAAGACTAAATTTTAATTCAACAATAATGATTTAAAATAAATAAAAAATATTATGAGAGATTAGATTATTTTTAAATATTTTATTTTAATTTATTAAAATTATAAGACTACATTAAAATCTTCGTACACTTCAAATGAACAAATTGTCCATTATGAAAAAAAAAACAATAAATATTGTCCCTTCCTAACCTCACTAGGGTTTGGCTGGCAGTTAGCTCAATCAAAAGTTTCAACGCTAATAATACAGTTAATAAAACCTTGTAAGATTAAAAAAAAATCACCAATATAATTAATTAATTTAAGAAATAAAAATTTATTAATTTGTAACATAGGAAAGAAGTAATGAATTTGAAAATTAGCATAAAAATTTTATTATTTTAGAATATAAAAAATAAGATTATTAATTTAGAATTTAGCAAATATACTTATTAATTTAATTCCACTCACGTGAAATCAAGTACTCTCTTCAATTTTTTATCAATAAAAAATAATGAACACATAAGGGTGGAAAATCTTAATTTATCTCATTTAATTAAAAATAAGCCATTTAATTAAAATAAAAGACTACTCAAGAGAAATCTCACAAAAAAAAAATTAAATACACGTATTTTTCTTTTAATATGTACAAACAATAATTAATTTTAACATGTTTCATTTTCTATTTCATGTAATTATTAAAAATATTATTATTTTATCTTCTTTACCTCCTTAATTTACTTTTTATATTAATATTGGTAAAGAATAGTAAATTATTTATATATGACATAGGGCGTAATTTTTTATCTTTCAATATTTTAATAAATTTTAATTATTGATTTAATTGCATATTTGTAACGACCCTAGAAATCGCTACTATAATGATGTCTTTGCAAAGTAGTAAACAAGTAAATAACAATATCTATTTTACATTATATTATCGTATTTGTAACATATATTGAAATTCCAGTTCACTAACGGAACTTCAAAATATAGTAATATAATTTATTTATATATTATACATGTAAGAGTAGCTCCCTCGAAGCTATCTCACTGAACTATCCTTGCTGTCCAGTAGTCCCATCACCATCTCTCAACTCCTGATCTACTCCCACATAAAAGTGATCATCGCAGTCCCATCCACATGGAAAAATAGGGGTAAGTATTAAATCATTCGATATAATAAAATAGATATAGAATTATATATTATGATCAATTACGAAATTATCAACCCATTAAGACACCTTCCGGAAGTATATCCTAACTATGCCCGAACTCAGAGGCTATCATCTGTGGGCACATTGTGATCGGTACCCGCAGTACCATTCTGACCACCCTCCACACAGAGTAGGATTATTGGCGCCCTTCATCACTCATACTGGAGTACCCCTCCGAGCGCGCCACCAGTCATCCCCCCATCGACTTCTCACCACCTGATCTCGTAGTCTACCTGACCCGACCAATCAGTGAAGTCTGGGACCTCATTCAGAATCCTCCGACATAGTTATTACACTAATGTACTCTGTACCACCCCGGGTACCATTCAAACATACAAAATTTATTCACATTTGCCAGATTCTGGACCACCTTTCCTCACAGCTCATTCGGGTCAATATAAATAGTATTTGACTGATTCTGGCACCAACCTTCTGGCTCAGTCTAGCCAATATATAACGTCTCAGGACTGATTCTGGGCATCAGTCCTCAGGCTCAGTCTGACCCACACACGTCACAACACTCTACTTTCATTCTCTCTCTCTTTATATATATATTTTCTAAAAAATCATTTCCGAAACTATTTCCGAATCTATTTTCGAAATCATTAAATTACTATTTTGCCCTGAATCTTTTCTTAAAATTTCATGTATGTCCCTAAATGACTATTTTACCCTTGGACATTTTTGAAAATTCCTTCCATGTCCCGAAAATGACTATTTTACCCTTGAACAAATTTGAAAATTCCATTTATGTCCCTATGATGTAAAATGACTATTTTGCCCTTGATCTTTTAAAAAAAATCCCCACCATATCCCTTTCTTCTTCCTTCGCTCGCTCAAGCGAGTACACCGGTCGCTTGAGCGAGATGGAACCCGAGAGTCCCCTTTGTTTGAAGGTTTCGTCGCTCAAGCGAGTACAACGGTCGCTTAAGCGAGACATGACCCGAGAGTCCCCTTTGTTTGAAGACTTCGTCGCTCAAGCGAGTACAACGGTCGCTTGAGCGAGACATGACCCGAGAGTCCCCTTTGTTTGAAGACTTTCGTCGCTCAAGCGAGTACAACGGTCGCTTGAGCGAGACATGACCCGAGAGTCCCCTTTGTTTGAAGACTTTCGTCGCTCAAGTGAGTACAACGGTCGCTTGAACGAGAAATAACCCTTATTCGCTCAAGCGATGTAGTTGTCGCTTGAGCGAGAAAGAACCCGAGAATCCCAAATTTTCCAGGTGTCCTCGCTCAAGTGACGTGTTTTTCGCTTGAGCGAATTTTGCAGATTTTCCCAATCCAGATTTCAAATTTCTCAGTTTCAATCACCCAAATTAGTTCCAAATCAAAATTTAACCATAAACATGTTCAATTTAAGTTAAAAACAACAATTTTAGTATATAATTCATCCTTAATTTCAAGAATTTCAAAAAAACTTTCAAACGGTGAACAGTTCATAAAAATCAGAAATTCTTCAAAATTACACATTCTTCAAAATCAGACATTCCAATACTTCATATCTCTACTCCTATTCCTTATTCACAGAGTACCCAGCAATTCAATTTCATATATTGAATGAATTAAACTTCCCCTTACTTGGTATGGTATTTCTACCGAAGCTTTCCCACTTAATTCAAGTTCTCTCCCGTTTCACCAGATCCTGCACGAGTAGAGTCTCGTTGCTTGAAATTTAGACAATAGAAGAAGAAGGATGAGAGGAAAATTTTTGATTTCTCTCCTCCCCCGCTTCAGTATTCATATATAAGAAAATTTTTACTGTGCATGAGGAAAACTTCGTTACGAAGTTTTCTTGCACAGTAATATTAATATAATATTAAAATAAGGCATACGTCACAATATTCAAGCATATGCAACATAAATACAATTTCCTAGGTAGCTTAATTGTTTATATATATATAATATCATTGTGATAATATTGGGATAGGGTATTTAAACAAAATATAAAACAAAAATTTTAAATATTAAAAAATAAGAATGTTTTTCAACAATATATAGTCTATTTAAAATCTAATTTCGTACCTCATATGATATATGTTTTAAACAATAAGATATAAGTAATTGTTATATAATTTGTTTACGTAGTTGATGTGATCAATAAAATTTCACCACGTTTCTAATTCAATTCTAAAAAACTATATATATTAATCTTGATTTACTAAATATCCATTGAAAAATTCAATTATAGAAAACTATATATATATATATATATATATATATATATATATATATATTAATCTTATTTACTAAAAATTCATTGAAAATACGTTTTTCAGTTTCTTTATTTTTTAATTTATCTCTTTATCTTTCCTTCTTTACTTGACACTTTTCGATGATTAACATGAGAAAAATCTTATTATAAAGACAAAATTTTTGCGTCTTTTATATAATTAGTAGGTATATCAGTTTTTGTATAAAACTATTTTTTATAGCACAAAAAACAATTTTATACAAAAACTAATATATATGATAATAGTTAATTTTCATGAAGTTGGTTACTATTGATTTCAAAAGATAATTCTCCTTACAATCTCTTTTTCTCAATTTATCTCTTTGTCTTTCTTTCTTTTTTACACTTTTTGAAGTGAAAAAACCTTATGATAGAAACAAAACTCTTGCTTCCTTTATATAACTATCAGTTTTTGTATCGAACTATTTTTTCTATAGAACAAAAAATAGTTCTATACAAAAACGATATATCTAATAATAGTCAATTCCATCAAGTTGGTTACCATCAATTTCAGAAGATAATTCTTCATACAATCTCCTTTTCTCAATCTATTTCTTTATTTTTTCTTCTTCCCTCACACTTTCTAATGGTTAATAGTGAGAAAACCTTATAATAAAGACAAAACTCTTGCTTCCTTTATATTAAAGATATCAATTTGTATATAAAACAGAAAACAGTTCTATACAAAAACTGATATATCTAATAATAGTCAGTTTCATCCAGTTTGTTACTATCAATTTCAGAAGATATCTCTCCATACAATCTCCTTTTCTTAATCTATTTCTTTCTTTTCTCACACTTTCTAGGCATGGCAACGGGCGTGGCGGGTTTTACCTCCCCGATCCCCATCCCCGCCCTTGATCCATGCCGGAGTTAGAAATTAAGTCTCCATCCTTGTCCCCACCGGGTTTCGAGTTCCCTGTCCCCACCCCATCCCGATTTATATTATTTTTAAAAAAATAATTACATTTATAATAAATTAATTTTACTATGTATATTTTATATATAAATAAATATTTATAATTTATAATTATTATTAATTAAATATATATTTTTTAATTTATTATATTTATATTAAAACATGTATGTAAAAGAAATATTTAATCATTTTTTATTTATATATATATATATATAGAATATTTATAACATTATTATTATTATAACACTTGTATTCAAATATTTGAATACTTATAACATTATTATTATTATTATTATTATAATACTGTATTTAAACATTTGATTACATATATAAGTTAATTCATTTTTAAGTTGTTATTTAAAAATATGAAATATATAGTTTATAAGAAAATATTTAGTAAGTTAATTCTTATTTAATTATTTCGAAGTAATAAAAGTTTAAATTATCAATTTTTTAATATTTTAAAATATAATTATTTTATTAAGATAAAATTTGATATATGATAAATAAGAATAATAAGATAAAAAATTATGACATAATAAAATCTAATAAATATAAATTATAAATAAAATAATATTAGTCATTACTAAAATTTATGTAAAATATTTAGAAAAAGATAAAGAAAAAAAAATTAACTTTGTGTTCATCAAATTGGTTGAAAAGATTAAAAAAAATTGATGGGAGAGATTAAAAAAATGTGAAAAACAGAGAGATAAAAGAGAAAATAATGTAATAAATTAATTGATATAAAATATTAAAAAAGATATAAAAAATTTAAAAGTGGGTAGAAGAAAAATAAAAATTGTCAAATATAAAAAAAATGACTTTATATGTAATAGAAACAGAAAAAGAAATATTTTTAAATTATTAATATTTTAAAATTTAAATTTAAATATAAAGTCGGGGCGGAGACGAGGTCGGGGTGGTGATTGCATTACCCATCCTCGCCCGCCTCGACTTTTAAAGCGGAAAACCCGCCCTACCCCGGTCAGCTCGATTTTTCCAGTCAAACTTGGGATAGGGATGGGTCGGTCCCACGAGTACGAGTTTAATTCTTATCCCTATTTCGATGGTTAATAGTGAGAAAATCTTATTACAGAGACAAAAATCTTGCTTCATTTATACAGTTATTAGGAATATCAGTTTTTGTATATAATAGAAAACAGATCTATACAAAAATTGATATCTCTAATAATATCAATTTCTATCAAATTGGTTCCCACCAATTTTAGAAGATAACTCTCCATACAATCTCATTGTCTCAATTTATTTTTTTGGCTTTTTTTTCTCTGACATTTTCTAATGGTTAACAGTGAGAAAAACTTATGATAAAAACAAACTCTTGCTTCGTTTATAGAACTATTAGGGATATCAACTTTTGTATATAACTATTTTGTATAGAACAAAATTAAGTTCTACACCAAAACTGATATTTCTAATAATAGTCAATTTCTATTGGTTATCATAACTCTCCGTAATATCTACTAAGTCAATAATTCCTCGTACAATCCACTAAATTGGATAACTCCTCATAATATCCACGACTCCTAATACTAAAGTTAATTAATTACCATTAATTTTTAAACTTCTCATGAGTAACTTGAATTAATTTATTTATTAATTCTAACATAAATAAATTAATTCAACATAAATGTGCAACAGTTTTAATAATAATTATGATAAAATAATATTAAATAAAAAAATATAGTGTATTTAAGTAAAAAATAAAATTTTAGTGTCAAATTTTGAACAACATATAGAACCAATGGATACTGATATAACGATAAATATATATTTTTAATTTTTATTTTGTTTAGTCAACTTTACCCTCTTTTGTTTGGGACCACGCTTTTATAAACTATACGTAGGTTGGCATATAAAGTTAAAATTGTTTATATGTCAATGTCAATTAAGTAACTAAAATTGGTTATTACCCATGGCTTTTTGCATATTATAATTCCTTTTATTTATTAATTTTAGTTAAACTTCCAGGAATTTTGTGGTAACAAATTAAAGTTCTAGTTCCATAAGGTAAATCATTACAATTTTACACATATTAGTTTGTAGGAAATTCCTATAGATAAATATGTGAAAAATTTGTAATAAATATTTTTAGGAAATTTTCAACAGAAAAAAAAGTTCCACAAGCCTTTTCATCGAGAAAGTTTAGGTTATGGAAAACTTGTGAAAAAAAATAAAGTTTTCCTATTGGTTTTTTAATGGATAGGACCATACGTATTATTTTTTAAAATATATATTGTGCAACAGATTATAAAAATAGTACTTTTGAAAAACTATAAAAAATATATTTAAAAAATATTTAACTAAAAAATGGTTAGATTAATTTTCATCCTTTAAGTATTTGTTGTATTTTTTAAATATTTTACTAAAAAATACATTATATTTTTCTTATATGACAATTAAAAAGATATTAGAAGAGAATTTAGAATAGTTCATAAAATAATTGACAACGAATTCACTGTACGTGGTACACTGTTTATAGCAAATTTCAAAATCAATTAATCTTTCCGAGTTAGAAATTAAATTTTGGATTTATTTGTTTCTTATTTGTTTTCATTCTATATTATTTTTTTAAAATTAATTATATTTATGATAAATTAATTTTAATATTTTTATAACTTTTAATTATTAATATTAATTCACTATATATTTTAATTTATTATATTTATATTAATATATATATATATATATATATATATTGAAAAAAATATTTAATTATTTTTTCTTTATACATATATAAAATATTTATATTTATATTTATATTTATATTATTATTATTATTATTATTATATTATTATTATTATTATTATTATTATTATTATAAACTATATTCAATTCGATTAAGTATATATATAATTATTTTAGGTTATTGTTTTAAAATATTTATAAATATGAAATATATAATTTATTATAAAATATTTAATAAGTTAATTTTTATTTAATTATTTAAAAATAATAAAAATTTTAATTATTAATTTCTTTTAATAATAATGTAATAAAGTTGCTTATTTAAGAGAATGAAAAATATAAAATAGTAAAAAGATGGGTAGAAGAAAAATACAAAAGGTGAAATATAGAAAAACAAACCTTATATATAATAATGTGAGAAAGATAAAGATATATTTTAAAAATATTAATATTTTAAAATTAAAATTAAAATATAAATCGAGATGAGGAGAATGTTGATTAACTCAATTTTCTAAAACTTGAGTGAGAGCGAATAAGTTCCTACACGAGTTTAATGCACATCTCTATCTATCTATATATATATATATATAACCATTGATAAACTCATATACTAAAATGGAATTAAGTTGGGTGTGGAGGAGTGGTGCAAGTTTGTTGGCAATCTATGTTTTGGTAACAAAAATAGTGAAGAGGTTGAATGGGTGGTATTATGATCTGAGATTGGGAAACAAACATCACCTGTTGCCTCCTGGTGACATGGGATGGCCTCTCATTGGAAATCTCTTTCCCTTCATCAAACATTTCTTGTCTGCTCATCCTGATTCATTCATCAACAACTTAGTTTCCAAGTTCAAATCTTTCCATTTTATCTTCCACTTTTCTTTTTGATATATATATTCAATTGTTTCTTATCATCTATATTGAAATATTATATATTTTTCCCCTTATGTGTTGAATAAAAGAGAGTGTAATGTTAGAAAAATAGTAGTTTTTCACACAAAATAAACTTAATTTTAAGTTTTGTAGTATTAAGATTAAAAAGTGAATAAAACTTTTACTGAAATAAAAAACAAAACCTCATATTTTTAAAAGTTATAGAAGAAAAATATTTTGATAACCCATATTAGATAAAGAATCAATAAACAATTAGAGGAGAGTGTAAGAAAAGTAATGATTTTTATTGTTTTAAAAAAAATTATAATTTTAAAGACTAAAAAAGTTGCTTCATAATTATTTTATTATAATAATTTTAAAAAATTATATTTGTAGTTTTTTAAAATAAAAAAAAAATCAGAGCTGACAAAATAAGTTCTCTGTATTAGTTTTTTTTTTTCACTAATATGCATTAAATCACTAGTTTCATCATCAAACATTTTTTTAAAATTATTTTCTAATTTTATATGATTTTTTTGGTAGGAATTAATATCCTTATATTTGTCTAATATAATTTTTACAATTAGAATGATTAAATATTTTTTAAAATTAATTTCCAAAACTATTTTTCAAAATTAAAAATAAAACTAAATCAAAGAAGTGTAAAATAGGTCTTGTATTGTTAAAGTTTAAAGTCTCACTTAAAAGTTTTATTATATATGTTTCAGACATGGAGAAAGTGGTATTTACAAGACTCATTTGTTGGGAAAACCAAGCATCATAGTTTGCAGTCCAGAGATGTGCAAGAGAGTGTTGAGTGATGATGAGAAGTTCAAGCAAGGGTATCCAAAATCCACGACTGAGTTGTTGAGAAACAAGGCTTTGACTCATGTGTGCAGTGCTGAACACAAGGGTTTACGAGAGTTGGTCACTTCTCGAGTTTTGGGTCAGAATGTGTTGGCAATGTACCTGGAACGTGTGGAGAAGATAGTGATTAATTCGTTGGAAGAGTTATCCAGCATGAAGCACCCTGTTCAGCTATTCAAAGAGATGGAGAAGGTTTCCTTTGACATCATTGCTCACATCTTCATGGGTTCTCACAGTCTCTCCAACATCGCCAAGTTGAGAGACTTGTTTCACCAATTCTGCATATGTAGTCCCATGTATTCTATTGCCATTAACTTGCCTGGTTTTGCTTTCCATAAAGGACTCAAGGTTAGTTTCTTTCTTTTTTATGTTCACATTGTCATCATCATCATCAGATATTTGAGTCTAATGATTAGTTATTTATATGGTATCAGATACGAAAGAAGTTGAAGAAGCTAATTGTATCCGTAGTGGGTGAAAGGAGGCTAATGATGAAAACTGGAGAAGTTGGGGATAAGAAGGATCTTATTGACCTTGTTTTGGAAGGGAAAGGGGAGAATGGTGAGGAATTGAAGGAGGAAGATGTTGCAGACATGTTGATAATGCTTCTGTTTGCTGGTCATGAAACCACAGCAGTGGGTTTGACATCCACAATTTTATATCTTACACGACATCCACAAGTTTTTACAAAAGCCAAGGTTTTTACATAACACAAGTAGAACCCGTTACTTCTAATTCTATTAAAAGGATTCAAATTATGCAGTTTGCCATCATACTTTTATTTCGTTTTATATAAGTTAGTCAATATCATTAAATTTTTTTATTTATTTATATTTATATTATTATATTAAAGGATTTTTTAATAATTTTTGTGTCATATTTATAAAAATATATTATCTTTTACCAAATAAAAAATATTTTTATCATAATAATATAAAGAGTAGAGTGTTAAAAAATCTAAATTGTGAGTCTAAGTTCGATGTTGAATAAGAGAGAAAATTAAAAAAAAAACCTCATAACCTTTTTTTTCTCCTTTATCTTCTTAAATGTCATTATAGTATAATTTATTGTAATGTTCTTTTTTTTTCTTCTTCATCTTCTTAAATGACATTATAGTCAAGAGAATAAATTGGACTCCATATTTTCAAATTCAATCACTTTAACATGCCATTTAGGCATGATTTTTCTTTTTTTTTGCATGACTTTATTATTTTTATTTTTTTATAAGATAATTTTTAAAAAATGAACCTCAATTCTTATAATCAATCTTATAAATAATATATATATATATATATATATATATATATATATATATAACAGTAAACACATATCTACTTGAATAAATAAATATATATATATATTCATGTATATATATGTATATATATATATATATATATATATATATATAATCCGTTTAATATAATGTAATTATTTTCCTCACTATCTTAGTTATTTTCTTATTTTTCTCTCTCTTTATTTACTTTTTTTTCTTTGTGTTGATCTAGTGTTTTTTTTTTTCACTTTCTTCTCCTTTTGTTATTTACTCACTTCATTTTATTCTTCAATTAAAAATAATAGATTGAAATTTAATAAAGTCAGTGATTATGGGTGATATTTTTTTCAATTTCTATGACTTGTTCTGTGAAACCACGTTGAAAATAAGAAATAGAATCATCGGATTTGATTTGTTCTCAATAACTATGAGATGATAATCTTAAGATGATCTAAGTATTTTATTATTATTAAAAAAATTATTTAAATGATTTAAAAATACTATAATTTAATATATTATATTTAAACATATTATATGATAAACTTGAGACATTTAATATTATATATAATAATATTATTGTTGGTATTATGTAGGAAGAACAAGAAGCAATTGTGAAGCGAAGACCATCATCTCAGAAACATTTAAGTCATAAGGACATTAAGCAGATGGTTTATCTTTCTCAGGTAACTATATCAATATATTACCAAAATAATATTTATGTCTTAAATTAATTTATTTTTATTTAAGTTATCATATTTCTTAAACAATATTATTTTCTTCTTGTTTATTTATTACAAAAAATTAAAATTTTTTTGAGAAGATGATTAATTTTGTTAATCATTCTTTGCAGGTAATTAATGAAATGTTACGCCGTACCAATATTGCCTTTACACTTTTCCGTGAGGCTACAACTGAAGTTAATATCAATGGTTGTTTTTATTATTTTCAAACATGTTAATTTTTCTTTTAAATTTTTGTATTGAATGATAATGAAACATTTATAAACATTTCTTAATTAATATTTTCAGATTATATCATACCCAAAGGATGGAGAGTTCTAGTTTGGACAAGAGCTGTTCATATGAATCCTGAATACTATCCAAATCCAGATGCATTTGATCCATCAAGATGGGATGTATGATGATTATAACTTAAACCATTTTTGGGTGTTTTTGAATCATTTTTATAAAATAATTTCTATTTTTGGGTGTTATTTTATGTGTAGGACTACAATCCTAAGACAGGAACATTCCTTCCTTTTGGAGCAGGAACTAGGTTTTGTCCAGGAAATCACATATTCAAATTCGAAATTTCTATATTTTTACATTATTTTCTCCTAAATTACAAGTAAGTGTTATTTTTTCTAATTTATTTTTCATGGGAGTGATACAATAAGGAATATTTATTATTTTACTATCTCATATTTTATAGGTTGAAGCAAATAAATCCAGAAAGTCCTGAATCTATCTTCCCATTCTCCTACCCAAAAGTCTTAGCTAAGGTCATAAAGGTCTCTAGCTTAAGTAATTGAGAATTTTTTTATTTTTGTTTGTTTGTGTTTGTATGGTATACCCCTTTATTATTCAACAAGAAGAATAAGATGTTTTAGGGTTTATTAAAGATATAAATTTGCTTCTGAATTTGAGAATTTTATTTTACATTTATCCTTAAATGTATCATCATTTTGCTTTTACTTAAAATATTGTAAAGAAAAAAGTATAAATTATGATATTTTACTACCCTTAAATCTTTGTGAATGAATTATATGAAAGCATGTTTTATTTAGCAAGATCAAACTCCTTATTATTATAGGATACAAAGCACAAAGAGTTAACTAAAACAGAAGGTGGAAGGAAACAAATAAATCATGATGTTTTTGTCTTGCTTTAGATTTACATTAAAACTTCAAAATGCATAGAGTTGTTTGAGATTGTAAGGACTTGTGACAGTGCGATTTCCGTTCCATATCAACTCTCCGAAATGCTGACTAGCTCTATCAGTAAGATGAATAGAATCGAAGTAGACATGTTCATTGGGATTGTCACATAACTCGTATTCTTTGATCCCTCTTTTCCCTCCACAACTTCCATCTCCTCTATATGGTCCACCTCCACAACATGCCTTGCTCGATTCTTTGAAACCTTCAATTTTTCCATCAAGACAAAGAGAAAACGATGATTACAATATGCTCAGAAATCAAAATTAATGGAACATGGTTCTTGGGAATACCATATTTTGTAGGATCCTTCAGCACTTGAGATGATGCACCATAGAAATCATTGATTCCATATTTGAATCCCTTGAGCTCTTTCTCCAGCTCTTGAAGCCTTTTTGAGAGTGCAATGTTGTGTAGTCTTGCTATAGCTGAAATTTCCTCAAAGCACGTGCTTCCATTATTGACCAAAACCCTTACGCCAGGGGAACAACCTATTTCACCCACGTTAACAAATCCAAATTTCCTTCCACCAAGGTTATAAATTTCCTAAAATTATACCATACCAATATCAAGGTTAGGATTATGAAAATACAGGCTTACTTGTTGTAATTCTTCTATTTCTTACAAAATATAGGAATCAAAACTAAACAAAAATATATAGAATGCAAGGTGCTGAGACTGAAGGTAATATAAAAAAGTAATTTCTGAAGAATGAATAAAATTGAAGTTTGTTCTCACTCTGAGGACGTCTGTGAGGTTTCCAATGACAGTATCTACAAATGGTTGATGATCAACGGGAAGAATCACAGGATTTGAGTTTGGTCGGACAAGAGAACCATAGTCATTCGATCCAATGCTAATCAAGTACACAGATTTTGACACAATTTCCTCAGCTATTGCCTTTCCCAGTCTCTCACTGAATGAATTCTTTACATTTTTTAAATAACTGGCCTGAGTTTTCAGGTCTACAACCTGCATAAAAGTCAAGGATAAAAGATTAGATTAATATAATAGTGTTTATTAAATACCCAACTAAACATATTATTAATGTATAAAATTTAAGCAAAAGTTTAATGAACTCTATCATCCTTCTTCCTTCAAATTAAGTGTTTCTTTGTACAATAACATAATGAGGTTATTAGTCTTACAAATCCTTGAGCAGTTTCACGCAGAGCACCTGCACCTCCTGAAGCAAAATTGACTCCATAGACATGTTCTACTCGATCTGGATGCAGGTATGGTGGAAGTATTGGCAGCTTGGCAAGTTCAGCTGAAATACATACAACACATCCACTGTTACTATTTTTGTACAAATTTAGAACAAGATTAACCACAAACACTATCAGAAAATCACAATTCAGAACATGAAATAGCAGCATATCATGCGTCCATCAGAAAACCTGCCAGAGGGGTATTTGTAGAAAGTTTCTCCATAGGGAGCATAGTTTGCTTGGTAAGCGGTGGTGGTGTTGATGTAGTTGTTGTTTCCATTATCAAAGAGTGAATCTCCAAGTATGAACAGTGCAGCATGGTTCTGAGGCAAGCATGTTATGGTGGCGCTGTGGCAGTGGGTCATTTGGATGAAAACACCCAAACAAAACACCAACAAAAGAGATTAAACTTAATTGCCATGATTGTTGCTGCTTAGTCCTAGACTTCTATGCTTTACTCCTGGTATCAATCACCTTCTGTGCATGGCACTATTTATATACCTATTCTGCAGTTGTATCATGGTTTGGTGAAAAACAACTTTGAATTCGTTTAGAATGATTCAAATCCTTTAAGAAGGCAAATTTTATATTATATACATTTTTATATGTATCGAAGAGGTTGAAATCCATTTGAGTTTCTTAATGTATTAAAAATTGTGTATGCTAATTTCGTATTACACTACAAGAAAAATTCATTTTAGCGACCGAAAAAATCGGTCGCTAATGTCAAAAAATCGGTCGCTAATCAGCTTAACGACCGAAAGGCGTCGTCGCAAAAAGCCAAGTCGCTAATGTGTTAGCGATCGATTTTTATTTCGGTCGCAAAATAGCGACCAAAATTAATATATCAAATTGGTTGCTAAAGTGGTGACAAAGTAAAAAAATAGCGACCGATTTAAATCGGTCGCTAAATCAATAACAAAGTTAAAAAATAGCGACCGATTTAAATCGGTCGCTAAATCAATAACAAAGTTAAAAAAATAGCGACCGATTTAAATCGATCGCTAAATTAATAACAAAGTTAATTATTTTTATTTATTTACATTTTTAATTATATCAAGTTCATTAGACAACTTTTTTTCTCCAATTGGACACAATTGTATTACATAATGAATGCTTAGTAGTTAGTAGTTAAGATGCATTCTCATCCATGAAATGTGGACCAATTTGTCATAAACTTAAGATTTGAGAAACATTTACAAATTGAAACCGCCAACTAACAGTGACGTAAAAGATTTCTCATTGCCAAGTACTATTAAATGAAACTGTTACACTTAAACACCGTTATACACATAATTGCCTTTTTTTATATGGTAACTCTAGCACAACCTTAAGAGGGTGTCAATATTGTTTTCTCGTGGACTTAAGACTATATTTCAATTGTAGAAAATGCATATATACCAAGAAAGGGTGAAACACAATAAAGGTGAACAAAAAAAATAGTATCATAGTAATGATACATTTCCATTCATAAAACCGAATTGTAACGTCGCTTCTTTTGTGGTGTTGAATGTGCTCGTGCTTTGATCCCATATGTCTTCAATTGAAAATTTTCAAAAGCCTCCGAAATTGTCCGCACCTATAGGATTGCACAAAGCAATATATTAGTGAATCCAACCTCGAATGGGTAAAGGAAAGAAGTTTAAACATGCACAGGATAACTAACCAGTTCAACCTTTTTGGAGTACACCTTAACTATCATATCTTGGTAAGATATAGGTAGCAAGTGGCTTACACTGGTCATCGAGTATTGTAAATTTTTCATTGCTTTCATAATCCCGAATGCATTATTGAAACTAGGTAACTCAATACAACTTAGCATAATTTAATTCCAAACTAAGCACCAATAATCGGGTCAAACTAAACCACTTTAAATATTTCAATAATTTTGAACAATTGCAGCCCAAGATCCCAACGAAGTAATATAAAACAGTTTAAACTAAAACTTATTAGCAAGGAAACTATCAAACTGCATAAGGTAAGAGGTTTAATAGTGCAAAAAAAAGATATAATCCACTAATACAATATAGACACAAGCAAAACCAATTAATATATAAGAAGATTAAAGAAATATCTTGATGAAAGATAGTTAGGTAGGTTTGGCGATGTACCTTGAAAAAGTGGATGCCGCCACGTAAACATGCACCATAAGAGAGAAAAATAATGCATTAGGATAACATTATAGTAAGTTAAAACAAACTAAATGTCTATGTTCAAGCAAGCATGATTATTCTTCATTGAATACCTTTCAAGAGGATTATGATTTCCACTAGTCAAATCAATTTTGACGTTACAAACAACTACATCCTCCTTAGAGTAACTCCACCACTCTTCCGCGTATACATATATAACACAAAATGGAATTCCTCCTTGAAGAGAAAGAATGAAAATTATATGCAATTTGCAAATGAGAAGGTTTAATCGGATTGAAGACCCGAGAGCAAACAATATCTTGAGGGGTGACCTTCTTAAAATTGTCTAGCATACCCTTGGGTACCGGGTACTCATTACAAAACCGCAAAACAAAATTCTTCCTCGAGTTCAAGCAAGACTATATAATTATAATTATAATTTAATAAATACACACAAACATTTTAGGCCAATGTAATGTAAATTTAGAAACATCCACACAATAGTTAGCATTGAATTTGTGACAAACAGACTTGAGAAGATACGATGACGTAATAGGTAATTGCAGCAGGTAATTGACAACAATCAAAGAAAATTACGTTTTATGATTCAAAAGAGCATTGTAAAAATGCTTTTAATTTTGTAAGAAGCCTCGATAACCTTCCAAGATCGAGAAGGATTATTTATATGAAATTTCGAAATAACTATTAGCATGAACAAGTGCATCGACCATCATAAGCTCCATTGCCTGGAAACATCAAGATGGGATTAGAAACTGTAAAAACCAAGAATGGTAAGTTCATGGGTATTAAGTAGACAGGTAAGGAAAAAAAGGCGGTATCTACATCTACCTAAAATTCAATAATCTTCTTAACAAAATGAACATACTTCATACCTTCACTTTTGGATGTGTATAAACTGTTCTATACGAGATAAACACGAGTGGCAAACATTTTGTGAATGGTAAGGTCTAGTAAATTACGCAGCCCAACATGAAAACTACATATTCGGAGAAAAAACTAAACTGAAATAACAAGTATAAGACCCGTAATCAAACCGAACTCGATTCAACCAATAGAGGTAGTCAGTTTGACAATTCATACGAAAATAAACCGCACCCACACACAATTCATCCTTAACCAAGGAGAACAATCCACAGTAAAAAGGCATACAAGAAATAGAACATAGCAAAGAAATGTGAACCGAAGGGCTTGACCCGCGACCCTCCGACTCACCTCAGTGCGCGGCCGGTTC